GCCAATCCTCTTTCCGTGATCCATTGCACAATAATCTATTGATACGAAGTGATTATTCATAAGGAAATTATTTTTTAATTTGGCTCATTCCATTAGTATTATTCCAATTACAGTTCCGTTTTTGACCATTGAAATCAGGTTAGCCTTATTAATCATATATTTATGGTTCAAACGTGATTTAATATTGTTATAATTCCCTGCTGAATGAGTCAGAGGTGTATAATTCTAGATCTAGATAAACTCTTGGATAATCAAAATTTCGGAGGTTCGAATTGTAAAATATTGTCATTGCTTTGCATTGAACATATTAAAATGAAGAATGCCATGAAATATTTATAAACATTATTAATTTCAGTTGAAATGCTACTATCCTGAAGGATAAAGTCGTAACTATAGAATCTGCAGAAATCATTGGCAATTATTGCCTGAGGCTTTGATTAATCGATTATATCGAGTTCGGCATATACCATTTTTGCATATCGCGTAAGTTCTCGTTAATTATGGGATCTTCAAAAGGAGACGACTGGACTTATACTAGGAAGAGGACGGAGGAAACGAAATACAAGTGGACGATAAAGGATTTTTCAACCATCCCCCAAAAATGTGGAGATAAAATTCAATCACCTTCATTCTTCACCGAAGACGGAGAACGAGAGTGGAAACTCGCGTTCTACCCTAGTGGTTGCAATTTACTTCATCCGGATAGTGTAGGTCTTTTCGTGACTCCACTAATGCCGGAAGATGTGAAATTTAAAATTGAGTTGACATTAGCTATTTTCACGCCAGAGGAAATGATTAGATCACGCAACTGTTTCATTCAATGGAAAAAAGACATGCCGGACTGGGGCTATCAATGCTTCATAAAGAGATCAGAATTGTTGTCATTAAAAAATTCCAATGATAGTATCATTATCCATTGCGATATGAGAATATACGACACTGCCGTCGTATCAGCATTTGACAACATTTCTAGTGATCTAAGTAAATCACTTAAGTCGCAAAAGCGTTCATTGATCAATGATTTTCGTTCTCTTTTTACCGATCCACAGTTCAGCGATTTTCGCATCATAGTGGGGAATGAAATATTTCATGTGCATAAGAATATTCTAGCAGCTCGGAGTTCCACTTTTGCAGTTATGTTTAAACACGAGGAAATGGAAGAAAATCGTAAAAACGAGGTGAAGATTGAAAATATGGATTCGGAGCTGGTGAAAGGGATGTTGGAGTATATTTATACCAGTGAAGTACAAGATCTTGAAAGGCTAGCCTGTGGACTATTGGGGGCGGCAGAGCAATACGACTTGGGTGGATTAAAGAATATGTGCATGGATACTATGTACAATCTTCTCACTGCTGAGAATGCCGCCGATATTTTGGTGCACGCCGATCTTTACCGTATTAGCCGATTGAAAGAAGATACTATTAACTTCATAAAAGAACATCTCACTGAGGTGCAGTCCACGGAAAGCTTCCGAAAAATTTCGAATGCTGGTCTGTTAATGGAATTACTTCTCGCAATCGGCAAACAAGATGGCAAGACTAATAAAACTGACGAAAAAAATACTTGAATTCGTTCTATTACCTATGGACTTTTGATATCTGTGTATTATTATTTTTACTATCATTGCAATTCCAATATTTTTACGAAAGCAATGAAATTTTGATATCCCCCTTCTAATAGATAATAAAAAATTTAATAAAAATAATGCAAAATGTCAACTGCTTTAAGTTTTCGGTACATATTGTTATGTTCCATGGTGAGGGGGTAATTCATAACATTTTGTCCAATTGAAATTACTCTTTTATTGTATTTGAGGTATTTCACGCGATTTCAATTGAAAAAAAAAGGGTTTTTCCATTTTGATATGAATTAAGTATCTGGTAGAAAAGGACAAACCAAATTGTTTTTCAACTGCTATGCAACATACAAAATTTCAATTTGAATTTTACCCGCGTCAGTATCATGTCGTCACAGGATTGAATTCAAAACCGACCTTCAGCTTCAGGAGGAAAACATACTGACTCTTACTGACTCTTGAGCGAGTGGGAATTGGAGGGAACGACGAGCAAGTGAAAATTTATCAATTTACAGTGATTGAAGATATTTCATAAATGTTATAAGTTTTTGGAAAAATGCCTACGTGTATCGTACGCAGATGTGGCTCGTGTTCGTCAAAAAAGTCCGAGGAAAATGGCCAGAGGGTTCGGTATTTCTCTTTTCCTCGGGACAAGGAGATGCAGGACAAGTGGTTGAAAGCCCTCAAGAAAGAAGATAACAATGTCAATGTCAAGAATGGTAGGGAATGTTTATTCATTAATTTTTCTCCTCAAATTTCAAATTCCGAAGTAAGTGCTTTGTTCCACATCGACCATCGGTCCATATTGGTTATGATTCTTTGGTGTCAGTTGAATCATTTCTCGTAAATGCTGTTAGGCATCGAAGCAAATCAATTAAGATCAACACTGGAAGCCTTCATTGTCTTCCAATGATTACCGTATAGTCATAATAAATCATTCCATGGAATTGAATTGTAATGGAAAACTTCATCCCTCCCTTGACTGTCCTTTGGATTCATCAAATAAATTTTTTTTTTCACCGTTTTATTCCCATTTTTATCAGTTAGCCATTCTTGTGATTCGGTGTGCTTTGTTTAAAACAAGAATTTACAATGAATTTGGATAAAACATCGTAAGATAAAATCAAGAAGTTTGGGGGAAGCTGTAAATTTGTGTTAATTTATCTTGCAACAATGTATTGAAATCCCATGATTTCAGCGAGAGTTTGCTCTCGTCATTTCGAGGAGAAATGTCTTCGTAAGGACTGGAGAACAGAAATGTACAACTACTACCCTATGAGGGCGAGATCTCTAGTTCCAGAATCAATTCCAACACTCAATCTCGGTTATCCAACGCCTCCACCCACTTCCCCAGCGCCGTAAGTATTCCCTTTCATTGTTTTCAAAATATTATTTGATGCGTAAGCAGAATCAATCGATTGAACTGAAATTCAGTACAAAATTAAAATGATGGGAATGTGAATTATTTAGGAGTGCACCGGCACCTCCGGTGCCCGTAGTTCCCAGTGTTTTTGGACCAAATCCTGTCGGGAGACCCCCCAAAAGACCAGCGACGGTCTCTGTCCAGGATATGGGTCCGTCTGATGCTAAAATACTCAAACTTCAAAGTACTAATAAAGAGGTGAAGCCGGGGAAGAATAAAACTATTGTTTCCATTTCAAACATTTCAAAGGGGTCAGTATTTTGAATAAAAAATATATAGAGTTTATGAGAAAAAATGAAAAAAAAAAATTCTTATTTCTACCAGGCGAAGAAAAATTGATCTCTCAGACCCCGAAGCTGTCCAACAAGAGTTCAATCGCCTGCAATCCGAGAACAAATCCCTGAAGATGGCCTTCATAAACCGAGCCCTGGGTGAGGACTATCGGCGCCTTGAAGAGGAGAACAGACGTCTGAAATTGGAGAATAAAAACTTGAAAGTGAGCCTGAAGGGTTCGAAAACGAAGGAGCAGTACGAACAGCTGGAAGACGAATATTTTCTTCTCAACGAAAAACTGAAAACAAGTGTCCCCAAGGCCGAGTGTATCAAGCTCTTAAGCCAGATGTTCACTCCAGGGCAGATCCGTGCTATTTTCCTGCCCGTTCGGAGAACAGTCAAGTGGTCAGCTGAGGACATCTCCGCAGCCATCACTTTGAGGAGTGTCAGTGTTCGAGCCTATCAGTATCTCAAGACCAAACGAAACATTCCCTTGCCTGGACAGTCCACTCTTCGCAAGTGGATGGCCAATATGAAGCTGGAGGAGGGAATTCTCGAGTCTGTTCTTCATCTGATGAGCAACAAGGCTGCAGAGATGGAAGAACATGAGAAATTGGTATCTTTAAGTTTTGGAGAGGCTGATCTATCGAATAAACTTGAGCCAAGTAAAAAAACCATTGACAAGAGAGTTCGTACACACCAGTGTGCCATGGTCAGGGGTTTATTCGCAACATGGAAACAGCCAATCTATTACACCCACGACCAATCATTCACCAAAGAAATCATCTTGAAGATTATCGATCGTCTCCATCAGATCGGATTTACAGTCGTCTCCATCGTCAGCGAGATAACTCGAACCAATTTGAAAGTCTGGAGTGATTTGAAAATCGGAATCGACGAGGACGAAAATTGTTATTTCCCCCATCCCAATATACCCAACTCCAAGGTCTTCGTGTTTACTGATGCGCCATTTTTACTGAAATCTCTTCGTAATTTGCTGTTGGAGTCTGGAATCGATATCGATGGAAAGATTATCACTAAAGATTGTATTGAGCGTGTTCTTAATCTGAGGACACCCGATATGAAAATAGCCGAGAGGATAACTCAGGCTCATTTGAGAGTGGTGAATTGTGATAAGCAGAGAGTGAGACTGGCAGTGGAGCTCCTATCCGACGAAGTGGCAAAAGCAATTGAAGGCTTTGGCGTAATTGGCGAACTGCAGCAGTACAACTGGAGGGAGACTGCGGACTTCATAAAAATTGTCTACGACTGGTTCAAGGTGTTCAATTACACTGGCAAGATTGACGAAGAGTCGGTGCAGTATGGCCTGGGATATGGAGCCAGCCTAGACGATCAGATCACTAAACTTGAAAAGATGACACTGCTTATGGGACAGATTCGCAGTGGAATTGAGGATGACTCGATGATCAACATCCAGAAGTGTGTCATAATGAATAATTGTTCGTTGTCTCAGCTGTTTATCTACCTGGGGGACAGATACGCCACCACGAAGTTTCCCCTGGAATACATTCTGACAAACAGACTTAATATGGATGTACTGGTGCAGCTATTCGCATACCTGATTTCCAGGAAGGATTCAAAAGATAAATACAGCCCACTGGACTTTAAGTATCGGCTGAGGTGGTACATGCTGGGAGAGAGTGCAGAGGCGGTTCTGGAGCAAGGGTGCGGGGAATCGAGTTCTGATGGAGATAAATGGGAGGATAAGGCCGAAATACTCACAAAGGATTTGTGGCAATTGCTGAGAAAGAGGAAGGGAAAAAACGCGACTTCCATTATCCATGATGATAATGATGATGAGTAATCACTGCAAGGGGACAAACAAGGTAGAGAGAAGGTGCTGAGGAAACGTCGGGAAATTTTCGTTGTTATGCAGCTAGTGAAATCGATTCGATAGAGACGTGGATTTTTTTTTTTCATTTGCTGGAGGTAATTTTTAAAATACGAATGTAGGAAAATATCGTTCGTCACTCGGCCGAGTGAACCCTTCCGACGATTGTGTTTACATTTCTCGGCTCTGCACTGTAAACTGTAAACACAATTGCCAGAAAAGTTCTTACTGGCCTAGCAACGAAATATATTATAACAAAAATGTAGGATAAATTTTCAATTGTAATTCATCTCAAAAAGTTTCACTCACATTTCTTACCGATTTTTCTGTGTTACAGAATACAAAAACACCTCAGGAATTCTCTCTGCCCTAATGCATAATCGTTTTCTGAGTGAAACTGTAAATAACATGGACTTCAAGGAGTGAAATTCGCACCCATTTATTCGTAAAAAAGCTGTTTGTCCGTTGAAAAAATATTGAGTGCAACAGGTTAAATAAAAATTTCCTAGCTAAAGGCGATTTCTAGCATTTCATTTACGTCAACAATTTTTTCTCGAGGCTTTCCCTTTACTTTTCCTCTCTCCTGTTCGACATTATCGATTTTCTCCCACTCTTGATACGACACAGGGCGAATATTCCTGCTCTTGAGGATTTTCATAATTTCCTCTGATCCTGGCTTCGACTGTGTTGGCTTCAATTCTTCGAGAATTAAACTCGCGACATTGAAGGCATTCGTCATGGTCGAAAGGATGACGCCGACAGGTCCAGTAGCGACCCATCCGGCTGCGTAGAGGTTGTCCCCAATTTTCCCAGAGGAATTGACGACTCTTCCTCGTTGGGGATCGAAGGGTACTGACGGTTCGATCGGGACTGATTTATATCCGATACTTCGAAGCACTAGACCACAGGGAATTTCCTCAGATTCGTTCGTGGCCACAGCTTTCTGATCAAGAATGTCCTCACCCTCTAGTTTATTCACAGACAGTTTAATTTTCTCTACTGAAGTTGAACCAATAATCTCCTTGGGCCCTCTACGAAAAATTGGAAGAAATTGTTTAGAATTGGAGTTTTCCGGATGCATTCGCTCTGAGAGATTTTTTAACATCAACTCAGTGAGTCGTTTTCTTGGTCGTACAAGCGTTGGGACAACATCTGCGACTCCCGTGAAGTCCTCCGGACGCCAGATTGTACTGCAGTTTTTTAATTTCGTCATTTCTCGAAGTTCTGCTATGGTGAAGGCTGCCTGAAGGGGCCCACGTCGGCCGACCATCCATACACGTCGGATTTTACTGACAGAGAGATGATCTAAGGCATGGCAAGTTATATCTGTTTTTTTCAACTCGTCGACAGGAGTTAATAAAATCCTCGCAATATCAACAGCTACATTCCCCTGGCCCAGAATAACAGCCTCTTCGACGTTTAAATTAATTTCCAAACCGCTATCCGACGGAACTCCGTTGTACCAGCCGACGAATTGTCGTCCAGAAATTACGTTGGATAATTTTTCTCCTGGAATTCCCAATATTCTGTCCTCTTCAGCTCCATAAGTTAATAAAACTGCATGGTAATTGCTCCTCAATTCCGTAATAGTCAGGTCCTTCCCCACGTTAACATTTCCGAGAAACTTAAGCCGAGGATTCTTGGCGGTTTTTTTAAAGGTGTTGATGACATTTTTTACTTCTGGATGGTCTGGAGCGACTCCAAATCGAACCAGACCGAAGGGAACGGGTAAACGCTCTATAACATCCACTTCCACATCGTTAGCTGTCTTTAATAACTGCTGTGCAGCATAAAAACCAGCAGGTCCAGCTCCCACAATACAAATTCGTGCTTTTGGAGCTTTAGTACAGAAATTCCGAACACACTGGAGCACTTTAACGCCTCCCATCATTCAAATGTTCTCTCTGAAACATTAAAATTTTGTTTTTAAATTAATATCAATCAAAAACTGATTTTTATACTGATTCATTCATCTGGTAATAATTTCGTACTGAGTATTTCAAGAAGTCGGATAGTGTGAAGATTAGGATACATTTGATGGTGAACCAGGTGAAATCAGATCACTGCCCAATGTATTAAAACTCTCAGGACCTTACAATATTTATAGAGAATTATTGGATTTATATTTACAATTATATCTGTTAAACTTACACTTTTACAAAATCTTAGACACCATTACACCGCCTCCTCGCACTTTGAAAATTACAATCGGGAAAGGATAATATTCGAAATTTCCACCTAGAATTATTAGTTTTTATCACTTTATTGGCGCAATCTTGAAAAAATGAGACTCATTACTCTCGTTATCACAAATATATATTAGTTAAATGAAGACAATTAATTAAATACAAATAGAATTATAAAAAATTATAATTGAAAAAATACAATATCACGATACTTGCAGACTTCATATGGTCACAAATTTTTCTTCATTACGAAGACCTACTGATTTTTTCAACGATGTGATTGATAACATGTTTGATCGCCACATGATTAATCATCAGTATACTTTGGTACATCTCGCAGGCTGCAAAAAATTAAGGTAATGAGGTGATTAATTACAGCTCCAGGGCGAAGGATGCCAGTTGATTTCCTTACCACATAATAATTGAGAAATCGGGAAGATCGATATCACAATTTTGTTGCTTTCCCTGGCGTTATTTGCTGCCTCAATGATTTCGCGGAAGTTGTCAATCATTTTTTTCCTGTTTCGAAAATTCTCTAGGGTCACGACTACCCCTAGATCATTTTCCGCCTCTATCTCGAGTGTCTTGAAGGCATGACCCAGAAGATACAGAATTCCAACATTCAATTGCGACAATAAACAATACCCGAGAAGAACAATTGAGTCATTCTCCTCGATGCTCTCGAGTATTTCATAAATCTTTTCTATCAGATTGGTATCAACTTTGTCCGTGAGCGAAAAGGAAAAAACTTTTTTGTCTTCTCTTCTCATTTTTTCGATGAATTCAGTCTTTGCTGCGGCTTCTGGGAATTCCAGATTCAAGTTAAATTCATCCAGTACGTGAAAACCAGAGATTAAATTTTTGAGCATTCTAGGAAAACAGAATCTAGAGCTCTGAATTTTCTCATAAAATTTCCCAAGATTAATCATTAACGGTCCTGAATCGTTTGGTAGCTGCAATAAATACGGCAGGATGTGAGGGAAAATTCAGAAATTGATCAATGAAATAAACAACGAATGCAGAGAGTAGAGGAAGACTACCTTGAAACACACACTCACACAGTTTTTCTTTTCTTCCCAACATCTCAAACTCTATAATCCACGATAACCTCCATGCATCTCCCGCCCATAAAAGTTTCAAAGAAAATCTTACAATGAATTTAAAACTCGCTCTTCCCGGCACGCCCTGCATGTCCTCCTGCAGTCTCTTGATTCTCTCTTCCCCCAGCATTTCCTCCTCCCGTTTCCTATCATTAAACGATCCATCCGAGAACTTGAAATGTGTGTCTTTGTTGTTGAACATCGAAATTCTCCTCTTCCCAACGAGTTCCTCCGCCTTATCCACTCTCTTCACCCCATATCTCGCAATAAATGCCTCAGCCACAGCATCGCGAATCTTCCAAACGTCATCCTCCACCCCCTCCTCGAACATCCTGATGTTATTCTGAATGACCTGACACTGATGGCCCTTAAAAAATTCTCCAGCCTGAATGATCTGTTCGATAAACTTGTTAGGCAGATCTTCTCTGCGAAACATTGAAGTCTCTTTTCCTCTCATTTCCTCTCCCTCCTCATACCGACTCGTCAGTACCGCCAGGTGTTCCTTGACGACGTCTCCTTTGAATCCCAAACAAACAACATATACCTCTGAATTCCCCTCTTTACTCGTAGCAGGCTTATTCAGCACAACCCTCTCAAAACAGCACCTCATCAGGTACAGCAGACAGACAGTCTCCTGCTCAAAGATGGTGAATATTTTGAGAAGAAAGCTGCCCCCATTTTCCAGGAGGTGAAGAGCAGCCACAGTCTCGCAGTAGTGTAAATGAGAGACCACAGCTTCCTGTTCATCAGGTTTATCAATACAACTGATGCTGCCATCAGCAGTTACTAGCATCGCTTTACCTCGTTCCCTCCGGAGCAGCCCCTCGAGATTCTCCAGGGTCATGAGGTTACCAGTCTGATCCTCTCCGAAATACCAGTGCCCTTCAGTGTGGAGAATAATTCTATCGTCGGTTATCATGGTGGAATTGCTGTTGGCCTCATAATAAGGGTTCAGAGTGGATGCTGTCCAGGTCCAAGTGATATCTGGATGATTCACCTTAAGGAAGTGATTGAGGGACATGACAAAGGCACCTGGGGCCTCACAGAGGTGTATAGAGTGCAGTTTTCCAGATTGCAGCACACCGGAAGGAATGAGGGGGAAGGAGGACAGGTTCTCGTAGAACTTGCACCAGGCCTGTGTAAGGAACTCGGGGTTTATCACTGTTCGGAGTTTCTTGTGGACCTCGCCTGCCTGATTAGTGGTACCTGTGTGTTTCTGCCACTCCATTAACTTAAAGTCGTTTAATCGGGATTTTGTGGTGTTCAAGGAGATCTTCAGGGCCTGTAGGGCCTCAACCTCCCAAGGATGACCCACAAACATTGAGGACGGAGGAGCGAGAGTAAAACTCTGGTCATTCAACAGCTCAAAACGTTTCGAAAACAGTCTCTCCACTGCTTCAACTATTTTATGCTCTTTGTGGCGAGTGTTAAAGTGATTGCGGATGTGATCATATGGTTGAAAGGATAATGGCCTGTGTTTTTTCAAGCGTTCCGATGCCTTTTCCATGGTCTGAGGATGATAAGGTAATTGGATAATTACCTTTGATCTGGATGAAGTGATGGATCCCGCTTCCAAGGTGTTTTTGAAGTTTTCTATTATATTGGGGTATTGGGATAGGAGTCCTCTACGACGAAACAGACGAGTGACCGAGCCGCTTGACGGCTCCCAGCGAACTCCGTTTGAAGTCTTGAATTGTTCGCCATTTACGCTAAGATTATTAGATTGTTAGCTTATCCAAAAGAAACAAGATGAATAAGAACATATCAAAGAGGGGGTGCGTGCATCAATCCAGAGAACTATTTTACTGATAAGGAAGGACTCGAGTACGAAAGCGTCGATAACCTCAAAACTTTCAGTTTGCGAGATTGAGTGCAGGCA